ATATGGGACAAAGGGGTCAAATGGGAATGGAAAGCACCATGAACAAGTGTAAGTAGTGATTACTTTGAGAAGTGAGAGAGAGTTAGAACCTCGGCCAGTTACATCTGATGTAACTAGGGCTAAGAAGGGTGACCACGGTGGTACACCCAATGAGAACAAGAGTGAGGAAGAAACACCTAAGGGGGATGACTTAGTCCCTAGTACTTCACATGAGCCTAAGAGACCCTTTTCCTAATGCCTTGATACACTGTCTCTTTTTAATGAGAAGGCGGCATCCATGGAAACGATGATGGAAGTCTTTAAACAGGTGAAAATCAACCTCTCCCTGTTGGAGGCGATTAAGCAAGTACCCTCCTATGCTAAATTTTTGAAGGACTTTTGTACACAAAAGCGTAAATCTAAGACACACGTGTCCCAAAAGGTAATACTCACGGAGCAAGTAAGCTCCATTTTATTGAGTGACACACCCCTTAAGCTTAAAGACCCGGGTGCCCCAACCTTTACATGCATTATAGGGGAACATTTCATTGATAGGGCCTTATTAGATTTAGGGGGCTAGTGTCAATTTGTTGTCGTACTCCATGTATGAGGAATTCAGGCTTGGCGAGTTGAAGCCCACTACTGTCACACTCCAGTTGGCTGATTGGTCCCTCAAAGTGCCACATGGCATGATTGAGGATGTATTAGTAAAGGTCGATAGGTTTTTACTTTCCTGTTGACTTTTTGGTTTTAGATATGGACCTGGTAGCCAGCTCTAAAAACAAATCCCGGTGATCTTAGGTCGACCTTTCTTGGCTACGGCTAATGCATACATAAATTGTCATACCGGGGTTATGGATATTTCATTTGGAAATATGCAAGAGAAACTTAATATTTTCCAAACATCCCAACAATCCCATGAAAGAGATGAGTGTTTATTTGTGGATAAGATTGTGGATGAGGCTTTACCCTCCATTCTTGTAGAGGACCCTCTAGAGGCTTGTCTAGCTCATTTTGGGTTTGATAATTTTGATATTAACGGGTTGATTAAGGAGGTGAACGCCTTACTTAATTTTTTTTCTACACCGGATTTTCCTCCATGGAAAGCTCGGTTTAAGTCTCTTCATTCTCTGTCTAGAGAGCTTGTCATACCATCCCTAGTCATACCACTTACACTTGAGTTGAAGCCACTCCCGATCATACTCAAGTATGCATTTTTAGGGCCAAATGATACTTTACCTGTTATCATTGCATCTGATTTAATTGCAGAGCAGGAAAGTTAATTAATGAGTGTTCTTGTGGCACATCAAAGTGCTATAGGGTGGTCGATGACTGATTTAAGAGGGATAGATCCCTCTGTGTGAATGCATTATATACATCTAGAAGAGGACACCAAACCTTCTCATGAAATGCAACAGAGACTTAATCCCAATATGAAAGAGGTAGCCAAAAAAAAAAAGTGTTAAAAATTGTTGGATGCGGGTATTATATACCCCATCTCGAATAGCAAGTGGGTGAGTCCCACATAAGTGGTGCCCAAGAAATCGGGCATCATTGTTGATCAGATGGTTATGTCGTCTAGTAAGCATGTCTTACGCCTCTATATTTACTGCTTGATATCTCCACCATTGGATGAGGATGAATCCAACGATCCTCTAACATTCTGTTGATTCCCTTCTAGAAGGAGATCTTTATTTTTCCTTACTCCTCACACCCCACATGCCATTGTCAGCTGTTCCTAATGGAATTCTTAAAAACCTGTTTGGGCTTTTTCTTTCCTTTTAGGTTGTTCTACCTAATTGTTCTTGGATTTGGGCCAACAATTTCACCTTTCCACAATGTCCATAAAACCTCACTCAAGACTTATTGGATAATAACTTCAACTAATAGGACCTTCTATAAAAATCTCACACATTCTTATATGATATTTGGACAAATTACACTCGTAGTCTTTATAGTTTGCCCTTATATTAATTTGGCCTATGTAGTTCAAAATAAATAAATTTGACCTTGAATTTTTCTCATTGTCAATTTACTCTAATTGATAAATTTTAGGATAAATTACCAATAGGTTATAATAGTTAGATTTAATTCACATTAAGTCCTATTGAAAATTAGACCTAATTAAATTGTCGCTAAAAATAATTTTGGTACATGTTGCTAAAAATTGTGACTTTTTTTGTCACGATTTTTAAAAATTGTCTCTAAAACTTACAGTTAGTTATATTTTTCTATGACGAATTTTTTAAATTGTCGCTAAAACTTAAAATTAGTGACATTTTGTGAAAATTTTTAAACTGTCGGTGAAAATTAACAATTAGTAATTTTTTTTAAGAGTATTTAATGAAAAATGTATTAATTATCACATGACCAATTGGATAATAAATCCATCTATTCATATCTATACATAAGTTTCCTTAAATTTTATTTAAAATTAAATAAAAAAGGACAAAATAGACCACTTACTATCTTTAAAATGATTGAGGGGTTAGCTTGTGACTTAGAATGATCCATTCAGTTTTAAATAACAAATTCTTACAATTGTAATCACAGTGACCCAATTAACATAAGAGATAAATTATAAGCATCACATGTATACTTTTTTATAAAATTTTTATATATAAATTCTACTTATAATATGGTATTATTTTTAATAATCTTTTAGACAACTTTGCGTGTCTTGTGATTTGTGGTTGACTATCTCGCGATACATTAAAACATTATCGCATAGATTTAAGCAATTCCAATCTAAGTAATTAGCAATCTATAAACATCTCTATTCTAATTTTTAAATAAAAATTATTTTTAACTTTTTAAAATCATTTATTAGTCTTAAAAATAAAAATTCAGATGTTGTCCAATAAATGATAGATTCAGATCAGGGAGACTCAAAATAAAAAAATAAAAAACATATTTTTAATATCTCAAAAGCTGAATTATAAAGCTGGATTATAAGGGGTTGTTTAGGGTGTCTTAAATAAGTATATTTTTTGTCTTTTTGGACTAAAAAATTGAGGAAGAAAATATAGATGTTTGAGTTAATTTTTTGACTTTTTATGAAAAAATATGTAATAAAAAATTGTAAAAATTAATTCGTAGGGAAAAATTAAGATTGGGAGTTGTGTAACCGTAATTGTTAACTTTTAATAAATAGTATTAATTTTTTAATTTTTTGACTTTTTAATTTTTTTACAATATGTCAAGCTTGACTTAAATTTAAATGAAGTCTTGCTTTGATGCTAGAAAAACTCTAAATGTAAATAAATAAATAAAATACTTTAGGCACCTCAAAAAGTGCAACACACAACGCCACACTTCAATTATGATTGGCGTCTTGCATTGCATTTTCCTCCAAGTCTCAAAGTCGATGTAAGAAGAAAAATTTCCCACTTAAATGAAGCATTACCACATTTTATGGAAAAAATATTATGAGCTCTAAATTAAGAGTTTTAATAATTTTAATTGGTATGTAAATTTTATGTGATGTGATATTTTAGTTTTGATTTTTTTTATTTTTTATTTTTTGATTTTTCATACTATTAGTGTTCTTTTAAAATTCTAAATTAAAGAGATGTATCATTTCTATATTTCTTGTAAGTTAGCATAACGGTATGAGACAATGTTTCAATTGTTCAACTATTTTACATGACACTGGAAAGGCATTTACGAAGGAATTCAATTTTGTTCACATAAAAGAGTGTAAATAATAGTTACATTTTAATTGATTGAGAATAGTAAAGTCTATCGTTATTATAGGGTTAATACACTTTTTTTTAATATGAAATTCACGTATTTAGACTAATCATATTTATCGTTCACATACTAAAAAGGTATATGAACAACTTCATTTTTGCACCATCTTTTTCTATCACCATATAACAAATCAAAAAATTTATTTACCCAAAAAAAATTAAAAAAAATTAGTCCCTTCATAAATTAGATAATTAGGTGTTTTTGTTGTAAATCAATTAATCTCTTCGCGAACATGGCAGAAGAATGAGGGATAAAATTTTACTACGTGTGCAGGCCTCGTGAATTCCTTTGAGCATAAGGCCCCTTTTTTAAGATAAAAGATTATTTTTGGTCCACAAAAGTTGATTGGATAATCCATTTCATGATGATTCAAATTATACTGTCCAATATTTTGAAGAAAAATATGATTAAAAAAATATAGCACTAATTATTGAATCAATCTAAATTTTTTTGTAAATAATTTATAGGTAAATTACACTTTATCCTTTTTATGTTTAGTCACTTTTTCACTTTGGTCTTTAGAATTTATTTTTTCTCACTATAACATTTCATATTTTAAGTTTTTCTCAGTTTGTTCCTAAAATTCATATCTATTAAAATTATACTAAAAAGACATATTCACAGTCACAAAATATAAAAATATTTTATTATATATAACTTACATCTCTAACATAAATTAATATAATAATATATTTTATATATTATGTGACAAAAAATTAAAATGAAAAAAAATAAAATTTAAAGGCGAAAGTAGAAAAGTGATTAAGGCCTGGTTTGACAACATCACTTTTTAACTTAGAAATTAAAAAGTCACTAAGAAAATTAAAAAGTCAATAACTTATACCAAAAAGTTAAAAATTTCATTTTCTTTCTACTTTTTGCACATATTTTCTTTAAAAAAATAAAAAATATTACAAACATATTAATTTTTTTATCTCATATTTTAATTAAAAAATTAAAAAATTATTAAAATAACATATTCTCAAATAATGCCTAAATATAAAGAATAAAATATAATTTACCCTAATATATACATAAGGGCCTGCAAAATAAATGAATTCAATTGTAGAATGGGCCCTAAAACCCAACTGAACTATTCAATCACAAAGGTAGACAACGGACAATGTGCCTCCCCCTTTTAAGCCTTGTTTGTCAATTTATTCTTGTCCAAATAAAATTGATCAAAAAAAACCCACCTATTTATAAAACATACAAACACTTCTGTTCAAAACTAATTTTTCAAATGAAGAACCAGAGGTGGTGCACCCTCCCACGTGATTGTACGTGCGAGTCATGAACCCAGGCACAACGGTGACGGCTTCCTCCACCACCGTCCTCCCACCCACCCACCACCACAGTCGTCCTTCCAAATCTGGTCAGATCTGTCAAAAACTCAGTGGACCTCTTGTTCAAAAAAAAAAAAAAAACTCAGTAGACCGCCGCTCCGCTTTCAGCCAAATAATCAAGAAAGCGAAGGACTTGGCATTTTTGGAGAAAGAAGATGGAGTCGCATTGCTTGAAGTCATCGGAAGCGGTGGCTGTGGAGTTGTTTACAAGGCGGAGTTACCGGGAAGTAATGGAAAATTGATAGCTATAAAGAAGATCATCCAACCCCCAAAAGATGCAGGAGATTTGATGGATGAAGATAGTAAGTTTCTGGCCACGAAGATGAGGCAAATCAAATCGGAGATTCAGGCCGTTGGTCAGATACGGCGCAGGAACCTTCTTCCTCTGCTAGCCCACGTGTCCCGGCCTGACTGCCATTACCTCTATTGAAAATTAGGCGCCCATGTGATATGATCTTTAGAACCTTTTGAATTTAAACTCTTTGAGTCTTATCCATGTAAGTTTGAATTTAAATTCAAAATTTATTTGGATAATCATTCAGGATAAAAGATAGATATTAGTTATATATCAGATTATATGGTTCATCTAAAGATATACGTATATCAGATATACGTCATGTGGTTTTTACTAATAACTTTTTTTTTTCCAGACTCTCTCTCTGACTCTCTCCTACAAAACAACGATCAAGCCATTTTGCACTGTGACTTATGTGGGTGATACTCATTTTGTAGTATCATCAAGTCATTTTGCACTGTGACTTATGTGGGTGATACTCATTTTGTAGTATCACTCCACTGCTGGGTTCTTTGACTGATCAGATTTTGGAAGCACGTGATTTACTCACGAGGTTGTGTCATTAAGGTATGATTCGAATTATTTTTATCTGATGCGTTAATTTATAATGCTTTATGATTTACATTGGTATCAGAGTCTATATGGATTTTTTCGTACTTATTTTTTATGCATTAAAATATGTGTATTTTTTTTATATAAATATATACACATTATATGCATGAAAATTAATAGAGGGGGAAGATGAACTGCACGGTTTTTGGCACTTCAACTCTCATTGATTGAGAATGTGATACACTTTATTTTTATGTTCATTAAATATTATTTTTAATGCCATAAATATTTTTATTGTGAAAAATAGAGTCCGGCAGTATAAAAATCGAACCAGAAAACACCCTGGAAGGCGGAGCGTGGGCCTCACGTGCTACCTGACGCCATGGGAGGCTTCCACGCACCTCCACGCGCTGTCACGCGCTCTGATGCGCCTTCACGCGCGCGCTGTTCCACGCTTTCCACGCGCGCACCCTCCGCACCCGAGCGCTGAGCCGAGTGCTGCGCCGTGCTTTGAGCCGAGCCGAGCCGCGTGCTAAACCATGCGCGCTGAGCAGCGCCGTTTTTCCTCCACCGACTTGGCTGCTGATGTAAGGGTCTGTTTGTTTTGTTTTTAAATTCAGAATTACGTTAAATGGTCATAATTAATTCGTTATAGCTTTATTTTAAGCGTGGTTAGTACCGTTAGGCTTGGTTTGGCATAACCTATATAATCCATCTTTTTATCTTTTTATCTTTTTTTCATCACATCACCTCTCTATTTTTCTGCACATCTTTTCGTAAAAAGACAAAAAGTATACTTTTTTAGGACACCCCAAACCAACCCTTAGACTCAGAATTATATTTTCTATCTTTTTTAAAATTTTGAAAATTTTATGAAAATAAAAAGTATTTTTTTTGTGATTATAATTCATTATTTATGCTTTAAAATGCTTATGGTATTGCATAAATTATTTTCTGGAGTTAAATTTTTTATTGTAGACTTCTGAAATGTTTTACTATTTACTGGAATAATTTTTTCAGTTTATCAGATTCTGAAATTTTTTATTTCTAATTTAATGTGTGTTTATTAGTTATTTAGAATTCCAGAAAATTCCAGAAAAATTCCAGAAAATTTCAGAAGTGATACAGTTTCTGTTATGACATAATTTGAATATTAAATACAACATATTTTTTTTTTAGGGTTTGTAATATGTTGTGATTAGAATAGCATGATTAATTGTTTTTTATTTTAATTCCGTTATTAAATGTAACATAGCATGTATTGATTGTGAATCTACATTATAATGCTATTGTATGGAATTAGAATTTTTTTTATCATGCTTTTAGACATGCCATAGTCAATAGGAGGTTATTCGGTTGAGAGAAATCTTTATAGATTAACTCCCGAAAACTAATATTTTGCGTATAAATTAAATTAAATTTTGAATAATTGTCACCTGTGGCGCAAGAGATGATTACGAGAATAGCGGATTTTCGATCTTGTGACTTGTGTAATATTGTCACTATTTAATTCAGATTTTTGTGGCAAAATTATATTATGCTAATCAAATTAATCCCAATGCGAATTTCTCTCTAAATTGACTTAGCTTATGGAAGTTAATTGGTTCACCTAGACTTAGTAAAGATGTTCAAATGTGAACAATGTAATCCCATTCTTTAGATGAGCAAAAATCTTGGAGACTTTAGGTCAAGTCTTAATTGAGCCAAAGTAAGGAAACATGACTCAAAGTCGTCATGGTTCTGTTGCCTTGTTTAGCATAATAAAAACTAATGTGTGCGCTATGGTTAGCAGCACGCTACGTAGTTTTGATTGGCGAGTTTTGGAGTTATAAAATTAGTAAGCCCTCAATAAATCTGTATATGATCTTGACTATTGAGCTGTGCGGATTGACTTTGTAATTTGACTTGTAAATAATGTTACATCATTGGATGAAGTAACATTCAAGAGTCACGTCATCCAAGAAATGCGAGCTTAAATAAATTAGTTATTAAGTATAAGACGAGTAGCCAGTATGAGCAATGTTTTGTTCTCTACCCAATTATTGGGAGTGGATAGAGCAAAATTTTATGCACTATAATAGTGTGCGTTGAATTAACACTAAGTGAAAAGATTAGCGCTTAGAAACTGCAAAATCTATTAACATTATGTGAAAAGATTAGCACTTAGAAGCTGCAAAATTTATTAACATTAAGTGAAAAGATTAGCGCTTAGTGGCTGCAAAATCTATTAGCATTGCCAACTTGTCTAAGACTAGACACTTACTGTTTCCACACTTGAGTGTGAGACATGAGGAGGGGCTTCTTTGTATGATTCCTTAGCTAGGCTAACGTTTTTGAATGACGTTTACCACTAAGCGCAAATGTTGCAGCATAATAATGAAAATGTCAAGGCTGACAAGGTTGTTATGACTCTAAGAATTTGACGCATGGCTCATGAGAGTATTGTGTTGAATCAGACTCTTTATCCTAATTCGCCCTTAAGTTACTTCAGGAGCTGTCATAGTTGATAGCTTATTCTCTCCTTCTTGTGGATAGTAGAATTAATTGCAAGTAACTATGAAGCGAGAAATAGATATGGCAAGAGGAGTATTGTCATCTTTCAACTAGATGCAGTAAAGAGTATGGAGAATAAAATTGACTTGAAGGTGCAAGGGATTAGCACTTACTAGTTAAATTTGCGACTTAGGCGCACTTGATATCTCCATGACATCCTTTTATGATCTAGTCAATATGAATTAGTCATGAGTCATTACCTAGTTGAACCTAAACCTTTAAAACTTGTCTTTGAGAACTCACACATTAAGATGATTGAAATTAGTTTATGACATTGGTCGTGAACCAGTGGCTTATTATACTTAATCACATTAATGAAATGATGACACGATGGTTTGAGTAGGCCTTCTCGGGCCCACTCGCTTATGACATCCTGCTCTCATGTGAATGTGTAACTTTGTTCGCAATGGGTGCGCACAAGTAAGTAGGAAAGCCTTAGAAGGTCATTTGTTTTGGCGCATTTAGTCCACTATGATATTTGTGACTAGATATGTGTAAGGGTATGATAGCTAAGCCTCAATCTCGACCCATTTATAGATTACGATACGCATCTGAGTCAAGACTATTTGATCTCCCATAAGTCAAAAGTTTTGAGATGGTTTTGACATGACACATATGAGGTTGAGATCAATGAGATAATAGCTTTCATGCCTTTAGTTTTGACCAAGGTGGTGAGTATCTAATTGAGTTATTTTAGAAAACTCTGTGAAGAGAGATAGATGCTTAGAACATTGATTATTCCTAGTACTCAACAACACAATGGTGTAGTAGATATAAGGAATTAAATATTGTTAATGTTAGGTGGATAATGGCGCAAAATGTTTCCCAATTGGGAATTGCACTAGTTTGTTGCCTATATATCCCTAACTAAGTGCCCTCCATATCAGATTTTACACTCTATTTGAGTAATGGGTTAGCGGAGAGCCATCTATGGGCGATCTGTAACCATTAAGCAGCTTATCTTTATGTTACTTCTCATAAGATTGTGAAGTTAAGACCTAGGGTTCTATAGCGCATTATTGTATGCTGTCTTGTAAACACAAAGGGTCGTGTAGCGCATTATTGTATGCGGTCATGCAAACCCTCCGGGTCATGTACATATAGGTAAGCAGCTTTGTGGTAGTGTAACTAAGTCACATAAAGTTTTATTAGTAAAGGTGACGTGAATAGAGTTTTCGGAACTCTATAAGATGGAGAATTCCAAGCATAGCGCTCTATGTAGCCTAGTAGAGAATGGAAAGAAATTTCCAATATCCTAGGGAAAGTGGGAGCGATGTGCCTACTAATGGATTACTCCATTAGAGAAGAATACTCTACATTCTTAGTTGCGTGGTAGCAAATGTGAAAATTTTCCACGTCATCACTGGGTGATTGAGAGGGAAACATTCATGATTGCTCCGCAAGATGATAAAGAGCCTAGGATAATGCCTAAGGCTCTAGTCCCCTATTTTTTGAAAGTGGATCAATGTTGCATAGTTTAAGACAAAGTCTTTGAGGATTAACTATTTTTTATAATTTGGTTGACTTTTCATTATGACGCAAAACTGTTATAAAGTTATGCGTAATTTAGATAGTCATTGTTGAGGCATAAGGTTCGCTAGATACCGAAAAGTCGTACCATTGAGGAAAGTGTAGACCATGAGAAGACTTACTCCTGGGGAGTGAGGTTATTTTGACTTAGGCTATGGTTGACATAAGTTCGGAACATTGATTTGTGGACATTGTGACCCAACTTTCTCGTTAAAGAATTAGATAAGTAGATCCGTAGGGATTTACCTTCTGCTTTTATGGTGAAAAGTTAAGAGCGCAAAAAGGTTGCTAGTTCCAATAAATCTTTTACAGCCTAAAACAATTATCCAAATAGTGGTTCTTAGATTTCGTCAAGCCATGATAGGCCAATGATGATCAATGAAGACCACTGAGGCATGATCAATGGTCCAAAAGAAGTTTTTCCTTACTTAGTCATTATGAGCCAGGAATTTATAAGGTTGTCGCCACCTAGGGTGGGCAGTCCTCTATTTTAGATATGATGGACATGGGTCATGTAATTTATATGCTCGGATGTTCGATCCTTAGGGATTGCTTTGGGAGAATTCATGTTTTGTCTTCGATAACTTACATAAGGAATATCCTAGAACGATTCTAGATGCAAAATTGCAAACCCATTGACTTACCTATCGGTAAAAGCCAGAGCCTTAGCTATTGAGTGAATCCTCGGATTGTCTTTGGGTGAAACAGATGGCCTATATTCCTTGATCTTTTATTTGTTGTGGGAGCCTAAAGTACGCTATGTGGGCGTGTTCAGCATGATAAGTGTTATCTTTGGTAAATGGTCAACTGAGTTGTTTAGACATTGACCTTGCTCATTAAACTATGGATAAAATGCTTTATTAGTAGTATATTCATTTGCTCATTGTAAGATTCAATGCGCTAGTTTGGTGCATATGCGCTAGTTGGGCGCATCAAGAATGAACGCAAATTGGTCACCAAAATATCTTTAGAGTGGTTATTGCACAAGAGGTAATGATCTTAAATCACTTCATATAAGGTGCACATGGTGGATTCCGTTGTATATACTTATCGTAAGAGGTGCTGATAAGGTCTATGTTTGGAATCTAGAATTGTGATCTTGAATCACTTCATGTGAGGCGCACATAGTGGATTCCGTTGTATATACTTATCGCAAGAGGTACTGATAAGGCTTATGTTTGGAATCTAGAATTGCGCAATCTGTGGTCAAATTTTTTTTTAATCGATCACTTATTTTGAGATGATGGGATGTTGACACTATTATGGTTTGTGTCATAATGATTAGCAGATGATGATGTCAACAGGCAAGATTGGCTCACTCCCACGAGCAATCGCCCTTGGCACTTGGGAGCGAGCAAGGATGAAACTAGTGGTTTATTTTTATTTGGAGCCAAGAGAGGCTTAAATCATCCACTATGTATGTCGCCTTGGTTATAACCAAGATGAGGTCGTGTTAAGGACCAAACATGGATGTTAGTACCCACTTTCCATGTTGTGCCTGTTATGATTAGCCAGATGCGAGATCTCATTTGGCGGATTGGCTCACTCCCACGAGCAATCGCCTTTGGCGCTTGGGAGCGAGCAAGGATGAAACTAGTGATTTATTTTTATTTGGAGCCAAGAGAGGCTTAAATAATCCACTATATATGTCGCATTGGTTACAACCAAGATGAGGTCGTGTTAAGGATCAAACATGGATATTAGTACTCATTTTCCATGTTGTGCCTGTTATGATTAGCCAGATGCGAGATCTCATTTGGCGCCTAGAAAGTGAGCAAATAGAGAATTCGGGTTAGGCGCTAGAAAGCGGCTAGACTTATATCTGTACGGTGTATCGAGGATGACGTCACTCTTTTGGAAGAGTTACTCCACCGTAACATGTATTCATACTATATGTGCTTGGCGACTGAGTAATGAGGTGAGAGAATGGATCCCTGTTTCCTCACCGTGTGAGTCTTACGTGTCATTATTGATATGACTTTCATTTATGTACCATTTTGTGACTTTTGACTATGTCATAAGGTAAAGGGTTGATGTTGTTCTGCTACTTTGGTATGTTGCCTGCGGTCATGTATGATTCGGCCTTAAGGAACATCACTGGGAAAGCGGTCAATCTTAAACTAAATGGCATGAGGGCAAAGGGAAGATCATCTAGTATTACATCACTGTTGTATATTCATTGCAACTCACGTCGCTCTGTATGAGAGGTAGATTGAGTGTGAATATATTTCAAAAATTGAGAGGGTAAAACATGCTCTTTTGAGGGATTAGAGATGTTTTTTGGACTGGTGTAATTAGATGGGTCTGGGGTATATGAGACACTATTTCTATTCTTTTTGGGTTGATGTCTCTATGCTGGCTCATTTTGAGTTTCTAGTATAGAGCTCCCACATGCAGGTGTTCTCAGCAGTCGCACGGTGCAGTGGCTAGTATGAGATTGTTTATTTTTGGGGAGATTGAGATTGAGACGTGGCAGTGTCATGCCAACTCATGTCCGAGTGGGAGATGTTAGAAATTGGACGCCCATGTGGCATGACCCTTTGAACCTTTTGATAACCATTCAGGATATCTATATCTATCATATCAATAGATATGGATAGATGGATAGATAGATATTGGTTATATATCAGATTATATGGTTAATCTAAAGATATACGTATATCAGATATACGTTATGTGGTTTTTACCAATAACCTTTTTTTCCTAGACTCTCTCTCTGACTCTCTCCTAGAAAACAACAATCAAGCCATTTTGCACTGTGACTTGTGTGGGTGATACTCATTTTGTAGTATCACTCCACTGCTGGGTTCGTTGACTTATTAGATTTTGGAAGCACGTGATTTACCCACGAGGTTGTGTCATTAAGGTATGATCCGAATTATTTTTATCCGCTACGTTAATTTATAATGCTTTATGATTTACAACCTCGTATACGAGTTCATGAAAAATGGCAGCTTGCAAGACATCCTAAACCAAGTTTCGAATGGGACTCGACAACTCGATTGGCAGGCTCGGCACAAGATCGCAATTGGGGTGGCTTCTGGGCTCGAGTATCTCCACACAAGCCATTCTCCGCGTATAATTCATAGAGATCTCAAGCCTGCAAACGTACTTCTTGACGATGACATGGAAGCTCGAATTGCAGATTTTGGGCTCGCGAAAGCAGTGCCCGACGCGCATACTCACGTTACAACCTCCAATGTCACGGGAACTGTTGGATATATTGCTCCAGAATATCACCAGACATTGATGCTGTGTTTGGTTGGGAAATTTTGGGAGGGATTTGGAAAGGAAAATGGAAAAGGTGTGTGAAACTAGGTGAAATATAGGCATGTTTTATTCATATTTCAACTACTTTTTCCATTTCTCTTTCCAAATTCCTCCACAAATCCCCCAATCAAACATGAAGTTCACAAACAAGTGCGACATATTCAGCTTTGGGGTACTGTTGGGAGTTCTGGTGATAGGAAAGTTTCCATCTAATGATTTCTTCCAACATACATCAGAAATGAGTTTCGTGAAGTGGATGAGAAAGGTCATGACTTCTGAGGAAGAGGATCCAAACAAAGCAATTGACCCGAGACTGATGGGGAACGGGGACGAGGACAAGATGCTCCTCGTTCTTAAGATTGCTTGCTTCTGCACTCTCGATAATCCGAAACAGAGGCCTAACAGCAAGGAGGTTAGGTGCATGTTGTCTCAGATCAAGAACTAAGAAAGCTACTTAATGTTGTGTAAGTGCAAGAATAATGATGCATATCATGTATGTGATGAAGAATGTTTTTTTTTTTTCAAAAAAAAAAAAAAAAAAAAAAAAAAACAAGAAAAGGGGAAAAAAGAATTTGTGAAATTTTATAATAATTATAGAAATACAAATTTCTATATAATATGTCAAGTATAATAATTATAGCTATTTGTCCCCAAGGTATAAACGTTGTTGTAAACTATGTCAAGTTGTAATTCAAATATTGTTTTGCTATGTTTTTTTGTCTTCACTAATAGAATTCAAGTGTTTTCAGCAACAATTTCAGTCAAAACACATCTATTGCATTAAGCTCTGTATTCGTTACATAATCTGCGATCAAGTTGGTTGTTGACTTTGAATTTTGTATTCATTACATATAATATGCATCTAAGTTGGTTGGTCTGAAGCTGACTTTGAATGTCCATAATATTTTTATTTATTTATTTCTTAGATCTTTTCTAGGAAACAATTTCTTCTACACAAGTCAGAATATACACAAATAGCAATTATAGCCTCCTTTTTTTTTTTATGAGGCAACTGTAATGGGGACAGAGGCGGCTTAACTACTAGAGCACTTAATTCATTGTCTAAGGCTTAATAAAAAAATTTCAAAAAAAAATTTATTGTCGAAAGCCTCAATTTTTCAAAGACCCAGTAAAATAAAACTTCATTTAATATTTAACCTACGATCTTAAACTATGAATGGATACTTCTAAAAGAGAATCGTATCCATGTTGTATCCATATTGAATACTGCGATGCTTTGGACACGTGTGGATACATATCCAATACTTTCTAAACGTATCCTATAGTTGATGTTAATTTTAAAGAGTATCGGATACTTTTCAAACACTCTAAGCCTCATATCCAAACTAATATAAAATTAAAATTATAATAATTTTTGCATAGTATTACATATAATTGTTAAAATAAACACCATAATAATTTTTCAATATATTCAACGTACCCTAGCCATATCTATATCTTAATTTTTTGGATTTTCTTATGTTGTCGTATTCGTGTCATAACGTAACCATATGTATGCTTCATTGTTCTCAAAAAATCTTAAATCATTGATCTCAAAAAATCTTAAGTGGCTCCTATAATGGGGATGGAGGAGGAAAGTAGTGGAAAGCCACAAGACTTGAAGCAAGAAAAGCAAAAAGGAGAGGAAGAAGTGGGACTGCCACATTGATTCACGAACTGCCTAAAATATTAACACTAACTTCCAGTAGCTAATAAGATGAAGTAAGAAAAGAAACGTAAGAGTCATATGTCCTTGATTTCTCCTCTAATGTTTCCAAGTGAGGAAAATTACCAAAACTACCATTATGACGATATCTATCATAATTCCATACGAGGAACGTTAAGGCTAGAAGAATGATGAAAGTGTTGATCAAAACTTCAATAGGAAGAGATTATTTGCTTTATTAGCGAAGTAGGGTCGGGGAGGCTTCAACCATGAGAAATCATGACATATGCTAGCACAGCTCTAGGGTGCTTAGTCACAGAAATTTTATTTCAAAGTAACAGTGTCATCCAGATTGGGAAAGAACAAAGAGTCACTCTATAATAGTGAATTACAATGAGAAAGCCAGTTTTTTGTTTAAAAATCATTTCCACGGTGAGTTATTGTCTCGCTTTTAAGCATATGTATTTCCACATGCTTCCTACGGCTACGAAGGAAGGAAGAGATGGACAACGCAGAGAACTCCTAGCCTTTTAGCCTATGCTACCTACAGTTCCAAAGGAAGCAAGATATAAATAATACAGAGAAGCTGCATAAATATTACAAACAGATGTGATTATAGACAGTAGCCCAGTCCTATAAGCAGAAGTCCAGTGCAACCCAAATCTAATAACCAGTTCTACTGCTGCTAGTTAAAAAGTGCAAATGTAGAAGGCAAAAGATAAAAACAACAAACAATCTAGAAATTTGTATGCAGGATATAAATGATTTCCAATCACAGAACAAACAAAGGTTGAACGAAGATGTATAAAAATAAAAAACTAGAAGCTATGAACATTCATACTGAAGGTTTGAACTCTGTTAGTTAATATTTACAAAACAAGATCATCTATCTCTCACCACAATACAAAATGGGGTGCATTAACTGCTCTAGTTAATTTCCAAAACCACCTTTAGACATTTGAATATAATGTATTTTCAAAATCACTCACAACAAACAACACCTAAGACAGGATAAAGAAAGCACAGACCCATACATACGAAGGTCAAAATTTTGCATTCCTGGGTGTTCTGTTAAAAATCTAAAAGTAACTGTGGAAGAATCCTTTCCAGATGAGTTGCTTCTATTTTAGTAACACCCTCTGCTTCGGCAACGGTAGCAGCACGTTGAACAGCCTCTAAATCAACCACCCCCAAAAAAAAATGCTTTACAAGATATTGAGAAAATAATACAAAGAAAAAGGCACATGCATTATAAGAAACATGGAAATTGTATTTAAGGCATGTAGACACCTGTGACAAAGACTCAAAGAAGTTCACAGCTCAGCTTCAGAGCATTTGCATTAGCTGCATCAGTGGATAAAACGAAAGGAAATCAATTAAAATCATGTGTATGAAATATACTTTTGTTGCTCCATAAGCAATGCACCTAGTGCAGAATATCAAGCGTTAAACTTGTATCATGAAGATCAAGAACCATTTTGTGTAAAAAAAAAAAATTCAAATTTAACAGTAACTTATAGAATCTATTGCAGCAAATGAAACTCCTAAAACATAGTAATCCTTTCCTTTAGAGATATTGTAATCACTGAAACATTGAAAGATAGATGTTGGGTAAATGTGTTTGTGGAAAGCATATGCAAACTCCTAATTCATCAATGCATTATTGATTCATTTAACAAAACAAGAAAATACATTGAAAGTCAAAACTTAGATATAATGACTATACAGATAGTCAACTCAAAATCATGTTATGCAGCATGGATACCATTAAAGAAATTAAGGATTCCTTACCAAAGGTAGGACGACTTTTCTTGGATGTTCCAGCTCCCGCCTGTAAATAACAGAATTTTAAACTGTTAAGCATGACTTAATCTGCAAATAGAGAACAAGCTGAAAATGATAAGCCAGATTAGCAAACAATGACAAACCGAAAGTAAGGGTATGGAAAACCACATCGACACAAAAATAAATAAATATATAAAGAGGTTTATTGGTAGCCCCCTAAAAAATGGTATTTTCCATCTTTCTTTGACATCTATGAAAATTTCACATAGTATAAGATATATATATATTTTAAAAATTCATTAAAAGAGGCACCAAGGGGGTACAATGTAGTTGCAAAAGAAACTATATCATCTATACATCATAATGCCTATTCAAATACCTCTACAAAATCCAAAATTTTGTCCACATACGGATTAACCGTCCTTGACAACCAACTCTCCAAACCAAACTAAGCCTTTTGTCCCACTCAAATGGAGTCGGCTACATGAATCATTTTTCGCCATTCTACTTTGTCAAGAGCTATATGCTTAGTTAAATTAAATAAACTTGTATCTTTTTTTATATTGCATCTCATGTCAATTTAGGTCTTTCCCTCTCCCTAACATTTTCATTTATGGTGATCATATTACTCTTCCTTGCCATTACATCTATAGATCTTCATTGTACGTGATCAAACCATCTTAATCTATTCTCTCTTAACTCATCTTCAATTGGTGTTAACTCCTACTATTTCATGAATATATTCATTTCTAATTATATCTTTCTTAGTCTTACCAAATATCCATCTAAGCATTCTCATCTCAACTATACTCATTTTATAAACAACATGCTATTTCGTAAAGTATCAGTAGCCTTATCATTGTTTTATAAAAAAAATTCTTTCAATTTTTTTGGTATGTATCAATCACATAATATGCAGACATATGCCTCCACTTGAACCAACCTACTTTGATTCTATGGATCACATCGGCTTCAACTACCCACAAAAGTCCGCCTATTCTTTTCACCATATACTACCAACATGAGATCTAGTGGAACCAAATCCCAAGCCTTTCTCCTCCTCCTCCTCCTCCTCACACAAGCTCCTCTCCAACTCCTCCACATTCTTATGAAACATCCAAAGAAATGCCAAACATGACAAGGCTCAACAACGACAACTCCTGAGCCACGTCACAATGAACAAGAAGATGACTAATAGATTTTCAAACTTTCAATCATGGTGTAAAACATAACTAGAATAATTCCATAGATCAGATTTTACAGATTACATTCATTCATACACCAATTTATTATGCATTCACAATGTTGTCACATCATTACACACTGCACCGACAAATTAAAAATCACATCAGTCTCAGAACTGAAAACAACAGAGAAAGAAAATTAAAATGTTGAGAAATGCATGGAAAAAATTTACCTCTCCTTCCATAGTCTCAGTGCCTTCATTTTTCTCGCACTCTGCAGAGAAACAATACAAATTTCAGATAATAACAATTTGAAGAATATGTGAAAATTGAATGAATCAGATCCTAACGGGGAGCTCTACGATTCCATACAAGCTTGAAGATTGCATGAATCAGATCATGTGATTTACATAAACAATTTGTCAGATATATAAATATATCTATATAATAAGGGAAAAAGGTTTTTGAATATTTGATGGGACTTTTGTTTATTTGTCAAAGTATGAACCGTTAGATTGGTTCAATCCCATGGTTGAAAATGTTTCCCTCACTTGGACATTTCAATGGTTCAGATTTTTTGGGTGAATATTAATGGTTGAGATCAGTTTTCCTCACTTTTGTTTATTACACTGACATTTCAATGGTTCAGTTTCCCTCACTTTTGTTTACACAGACATCTTCTCTTTCTCTTTCTCTCTCATTTTGATTTCAAAATTTGAAGCTTCGCTCTCTCACACCTCTTCCTCTACCTCTTCCTCTTCCCACCACATATCTTCCTCTTTCCACCAAGCTTTCTCTCTCCGGTGGTGATTAGCTCCGACGGAATATAGCCCCGGTGGTGATATCCGGAATATAGCTCCATCTGCCTCAATCTCTGTCTCCTC